CGGTGACATTTTGGCCTGACCGGGCTGCTTGTTGAGCCCGGCCTGTACATTTTATTACACTAATTACGGTGGCGGATTTTACCTAACCGGTCTCGCATTCGAACTCGGTGGTATTTTCGGCCTGACCGGGCTCATTACTGAGCCTGGCCTTTTATTTTTACTTATGATGGCGCTTGCCCGACCGGTCTCGCGTTCAGACTCGGTGGTTCTGGCCTGACCGGACTCATCGTACTGAGCCCGGCATTTTATTTTCACTTTGGCGCTTGCTTGACCGGTCTCGCGTTCGGACTCGGCGGTTCTGGCCTGACCGGACTCATCGTACTGAGCTCGGCTTGTGCCAGCCGGGTCATCGTACTGAGCCCGACCTGCACATGATTACGTGGCAGCTTACCTGACCAGTCTCATGTTCAGACTCGGTGGTATTATTGGCCTGACCGGGCTACATAATTGAGCCTAGCTTGTGTCGACCGAGTCATCGTACTGAGCCCGGCCCGCACTTGCTTATTACATTAGTTATGCCGCTTTGGCCGGAGCGAGAGCTCAACGGCGGGCGACATGGACGTCGGCCTGGCCAAAGCGGGAGCTCAACAGCGGACGACACGGACGTCGGCCTGGCTGGAGCGGGAGCTCAACGGCGGGCGACACGGACGTCGGCCTGGCTGGAGCGGGAGCTCAACGGCGGGCGACATGGACGTCGGCCTGGCCAAAGCGGGAGCTCAACAGCGGACGACACGGACGTCGGCCTGGCTGGAGCGGGAGCTCAACGGCGGGCGACACGGACGTCGGCCTGGCTGGAGCGGGAGCTCAACGGCGGGCGACATGGACGTCGGCCTGGCCAAAGCGGGAGCTCAACAGCGGACGACACGGACGTCGGCCTGGCTGGAGCGGGAGCTCAACGGCGGGCGACACGGACGTCGGCCTGGCTGGAGCGGGAGCTCAACGGCGGGCGACATGGACGTCGGCCTGGCCAAAGCGGGAGCTCAACAGCGGACGACACGGACGTCGGCCTGGCTGGAGCGGGAGCTCAACGGCGGGCGACACGGACGTCGGCCTGGCTGGAGCGGGAGCTCAACGGCGGGCGACATGGACGTCGGCCTGGCCGGAGC